CAGTGGTCGATGGCTGTCCGGTTACGGGACCCCGGGACGCAAATTCCATCGACGCCGCCCGAAAAATAGTAGCTTCACCGAGCATCTCACTTTCATCAGGTATTAACACGCCATGCATAGACTACGTCGTCGGATTTACACCTCCCACCACGCACGTCTTACGTCATGCGCGATACATTTTTTTTCTTTGGCAGTAAACCGGTGGGAAGGGGAGAGAGATGGTATTCATGGCTACCGACGAGGAGTAGGTTTTGAGTCACTCTTTGGATCTTGTGGTCGTTTGGCGGTGATTTCAGGAACAGAGCGACGTCAACGTATATCCCGTGACCACCTCCTCGGGGATGGCTGCATGGTTGCTGCATATCTGGCCACCAGCCCTCCTTTCCCCCCACCCCACCCAGCGCTACTGTGTACGGCCGCAAACCACGCCACCATGTGAGCGGGTAAGGGTTTTTCTGCGAGGGTGCGAGACAATTCCGAAATAGCTCCGCCAGGCGCGATCTGGGGTACGAGGTACCCCGAGATCCCCGTAATTGCGTTGGAGCACGCGGGCACGACGAAGCCATGCAGTGCACCCTGCTGTCGGTGCCGCCGTGGCGGCCACCGTCAGGGGGAACGCACGGCGATGTAGTGGAGACCGGAGCTAGTCGGCGCCCGATCGCCGTACCAGGTTTTTGACTCGGCCTTGGGACATCCTTGATTAGGGCTGGAGAAGTCGGCTAGCGGAACTCGCTTCCGGGAGAAACACCGCTGACGAAGCGACGGAGGCGAGAGGGCTGGTTATTTCGGCTAACTCCCGCTAGGTTTACGGTTAGCAGCGTAGGGTCAAATGCCTAATGGAGAATCGAATGAGGGCTTGGCGGCTTAATAAGCGGGGGAATAGTGAAATCACGCAGTAGGTAAAGAGCTCGTACCACCCCACATCGGTGCTACAAATGCAAGTTGTTGTTTATACGCAGCTGATAAGGCGTCACTTATCTTTATTGCTTGTACGCAGCCGTCAACTGGTCAAAGTGGGCCACCACCGCTTCGATGCTGGCGGCGGCCCCCGTGGCGGGGTCAAGGTCGCCGATCTCGCTGCGGAGAATCAGCGCCACCAAGAAGTAGTTGTTATACAAGAAAACCTCGCGTTCCGTCGACCGCTTCGACGAGAACGCCAGCGTGGCGAGCTTGGTGAGCTGCGACTCGTACTCGTTCGAGAGCCGTTGGATCAGCGAATGGAGCGGCTCGGCTTTAATATCGTGGTTTGTCGAAATGCGGAGCATCCCCCCTATAAGTTGGGCCACCTGTTGGGTCACTGACAACGGGGCCCCGCGGCTCGCGGCCAGAGTCAACTGAGTGAATGCTCGCTTCATCAGCTCGCAGTTCTGATCGACAATCTTCGTAAATTGAGACCATAATTGGAGGGTAATCCCCTGATGGTAATCATCTAACACCGGAATGTGGTAGGTATCGTGGGCGAGGGCCAGCGCTCGCTGCACTAACCGGATCACAAGCAATACCCCAAAGGCATCACACAGTCCCGTGCCGATGCTGGCACCCAATCTCCCTGCCGTCAGGTTAGCGTTTTTGGAAAGAAGCGAGGGGGTGTGGGTGACTAACCAGGTGACAAACTCCTTGCCAATGCCGAACACCGGACCGTACATTATATCCCACCATTGTTGGTTGTCGAGAGTGGGGAACTTCTCCTCACCATCATTGAAGAAGTCGACTATGAAAAGGTATTCCACCACGACATTGCTGACGAGGGCAAGCAGCCACTGTTGGTATATGAACTCGAGCCAATAGGAGAACGGCGTCGTCTCAGCGATTTGCGAGGGGATGGCGGTGGCTTCTTCGGTGAGAATGTTGTGACGTTTCTCCATCAGCGAATAGTATTCCTGAGGAAGGACGGTGGTGGTGGGCTCAGTGGTAGGTGATCCCGGCGCCGGAGCTGACAGGAACCACAGTCCCTTACCGAAAAACAGCAGCAGTGCCAGCACGTCGGCACCAACAAGAATCAGATAGTCGGCATGCTTCACCTGTAGTTTTTGTAGGCAATAAAGGTACTTGGCAAAGCGGGTATGGTAGTACCAACGCATCGTCCAGATGTAGGCAACGAGAAATTGGCGGGCGAGCTCAGGGTGGCTGCGTTTAAGGAAGTGGAAGGCCTCTTTGCATTGTAAAAGCAGCTGTTGGACTTGTTGGGAGCTGAGTTTTGGTGATCGCAACAGCTTAATTTGCGCAATCATAAAATCACGTATCCGTTCCACTGCCTTGGCCGTAGCCACCTCAACGGTTTTACGTAGTTCGTCGTATGCTTTGTACTCTTTATAGTGGGCGTTGGGTCCCTTTTCAACGCTGTCGATAATATCTTGCTTTTCCTGGAGCACTTTGATGTTGTCCATCCACTGCGGGTTAACTGGCGCCGAGGCGATGGAGCGAAGGGTATCGGGAGGAAATAGTAAATCAAGGATCACCGGATTAAGCTTATTGGTGATGGAATGAGCGTTCCCCAGTTCCAGCGTGAGCGTTTGCAGCTGAGTTTGAAGGCTCAACAAGCTCTGCGAAAGCTCGCTCAACTTGGCGTCAAACTCGGTCAACATCGTCTCCACCGGCTTGAGCGCTTCAATGTGGGTGCCGATATCGTCATCAAACGCGTCGAATTGGCGTTTAAGCGTCCATAGTTGCTCAAGGTCGAGTGGGGTCGGGGCGGGAGTGACACGGTGGCGGATCTGGGCGAGGAGCTGGGGCCGTGGCAGCTCCAAGTAGGGCTCGAGGCGAGCTAGCGACGGCGGCTGGCTCGGCTCGGCGTCCTCTGGCTCCACTGGAAGAAGCTTTTTGAGGGCCAACATTGGTCGTTGGGTTCGCACTGGTGGTGTGGGTGGTGGTGAGTATATGTGATTGTGGTAACTGTAGTACTCGATGAGGAAACATCAACAGTGATGAAACGTGTTTGAGGTTTCAGCCAAGCTGGAGGGATGAGTGTTTAGTAATATTAGAGAAGTTGTTGCCACCTCAATTAAAATAGATGTTTTGTTTACATCAGAATTGAATGGGAAGGTCTCCTCAGTAAAGGCTAATTATAACCTACAGTTACTACACTCAATTACCCTTTACCAACTACTGAACATCGCCAATGAGTTTCAAAGGTCTCTACTCTGGGTGTGAATGGAAAATGGCACCAGTGGTATCGCCGCTGGTATCTAGCCAAACACGCGCTTTTATGTGTCGGTATCGATGGAGAAATGTCGCTTTTCAACGGCGAAATGTACGGAATGTGGTACAAAAAGCTCAGCCAAGCCCCGTCCACTATAAATCGAGTGGTGTTTCCTCACACACCACTGGTAAAGACGCTTTGCCATTGCTGCTAGCAAGCGCTAACCCCCGGACGCGCGCGCGACTTTACCACCGCGATGGCGTCGGGTTGCTCGTACACCAAATGGCATCAGCTCCTGCGCGGTTGATCGTCACTGGGGGCACCAACGTGGGCAAGACGGCGGCGCTTGCCTCGCAAGTGGCGCTGTATTTGCGCCACGGGTACCGTCCCGACCAGGTGGTGGTGTTAGGGTTTCTGACGCCAACCGTGGCGCTGCTCGCACACCATTTGCGACCAGTGGCCCCCGAAGTGAGGGTGGCCACCCTCCACCAGTACTGTGCCCTCCAAGTGCCCGAGGCGCGGCTTGCCGACGACACGCTGTGGGGCCAGATAATGGCGGTAATCGCCCAGGAAACAAAACAACTGAAACTGGCGGTGGAGGACGGGCTCACGACCTCGGAAATCGGATCAATTCTCCGACACGCTGGCTTTCTCCGCTACGGCGACTATGTCACCGAGGCGCTTGCTCGCACGTGGCCGCAGGCGCCGGCGGTGGTGATCGACGACTACCAGGACATCCCCGAGGCGTACCACGCGGTCGTCGATCGGCTTTTGGCCCAGCTGGAGACGCTGGCCATCGCCTATAACCCCGAGTATCTGGCATACAGCTTTTTACCTGGACAACGGGCGCCCGTCACCCCCAGTGGGGTCGAAGTCCGGGCACTTGCCCCGGCGGTGAAGGCGCTGCCGATGCCGATGGTGCAGACGATTCTGCGTCGTGATGCGCTGGCCAGTGTGCCTAACCCGAGCTCCAGCCTCGGTAGATCTGTCATCAGCGGGGCCGTCGGCGCGATTGGCAGTGCCGTCACCGCTATTTGTCGCGAGGTTTATGACCACCACACTCAATTATCTAATATTAGCATTGTCGCCCGCACTAATGCCGAGGTGGCGCTGGTGTGCGCCCAATTAAAAGGTTACGGTATCGATGCGGCGGCGTCGCGATTCACCTGGACTGCACTGCCATTGCATATGGTGCCGGCGTTATTAAATTTGACTCGGAGATTCAACCCCGTCGATTTCACCGTCGTCGCAGGGTGCTTGGACCAGCGCCGGATGCGGCTGAGACGGCTTTACCGGTTGTTAACTACGTTGACCGAGTTCCCCCAGCTGGCGCCGCCAGGGTACACTCTGGCAGGCTTAGCCCCCGTAGGCGCAGCCCTCGTCGCATTACTGGAGGCGGTGCTGCGAGCGCCGCCGCCATCGGACGACCCGCGGATGTTAGCGGATTACTTAGTCGAGTTAATTCAGGGGGTGCCGGGGCTTATCCGATACGTCAACGACTGCAGCTACAATAGTGAAGCGCTTCGGCTGGCGGTGGACGAACTAAGTGCCCACTGGCAAGCGCTGTGGCAGCACCCATACGGAGGTGGGGTGGCCTGGTGGCTTGGAAGTGGCCACGATATTACACGACCGGCGGTGCCGGGGCGGGTGGAGGTGGCAACGGCCCATAGTGCCCGGGCGCTCCCGGTTGTGGTGGCGATGCCTAATATCTCCGGCCCCCTTTTACATCACGCCAGTCGCGGTGCCGATCGCGTGTACGTTGCCGCCGCGTAAGCAGACGCTTTTGAAGTGGGTGACAACTCCGTGCTGCTTGTGGTGGCAACTCCGGCGATTTTGTGGGCGCTGCCGGCTATCGCGGGCGCTTGTGCTCGAGCGTGGGCGATGTCGCGGCGGCCGCGCCCTGTTTCCGCGGTTGCCTCTCGGTGATTAGCGCGCGCGACCCGTCGTCGGCGCTACCACGGCCTAATTCGGACAGAGTACATCGCCGCCAGCAGTGAGTGGTGCGCATGGCCGCGCTGGCGCACCGCATCGGAGGCAAGATTAGGTTTGGGCAAGTCACGAGTCGTCCGGCATAAGCGACCGATATATATATATATATATATGGCGTGCCGGCGATGTCGCTGGCCCCTTGGTCTCGCGCATCCCCAGGTCATGGTTGGAGGCGGTTTCTGTCGATGAGTGAAGAATTGGAACCCGCGGACCATGACGTGAATCCCGAAGTGTTTGTCGGCGAGTACGCCAACATCTACCGGTACCTTTCACAGTTTCAGGTCGAGTTGGCCCACCCCCGCCAGCTCGCCAGCCGCCCGTTGCTTGCCAGCGACGCCCCGTCGATCACCGTGTTCAAAAAGAAGAATCTCAGCAAGCTTGCCAACAACCCCGCCAACATCTACGAGCACAACTTGACGCTGCCCGACATCGACCAGAACGACCGCACCAAGCTGAAGGTGAGCTGTATGCGCTGCCGCAAGTACAAGAAGAAGTGCCTGCGCCGCTTTCCCGAGTGTCTGAACTGTACCCTGAGCGACGAGTTGTGTATCTACATGCCCCGCAAGACCAAGCGTCGCCAGGCCCCCCTCGTCGCCGACGACGCGACGACAGCGCCACCCCGGGCCCCCACCGCCGCCGCTGCCGCCACCGACGCCGCCGACGCCACCACCGACTCCAGCACCACCACCGACTCCAGCGGCGCCGCCGCCACCGCCGCCGCGAAGAAAAAACGGCACAATTTGGACATGTTGTTGAACTAGTTTCCGTGGGTATGTGTTTTGCATAGGTTTTGTAATTATAGACGCAATTATTTTAGCCGAGACGCTGCGGCATTTTGCTAGCAGTCACCCCGGGTGACTCCCATGAGGTTCCATGGGTAAACCGATATATCAAGGTATTGCTTGGCGCCCGTGTGACGTCCGACGGTCGACGCGGTGTCCGACCCCTAACTGCCCCGTGTCGGAGATGTCGAGATTTTGGCGGGGGTGTTCGTCCTTCGCGCCTTGTTGGTTAGTAGATTGCGCGAGTCGGCGTTGGCGCCAGAACTCCGCACCAATGAGCACGCGCCGCCCCCGGGCACCGTCGCTGCTGCCTCGATGCCGCTTCGGCGTATTAGTCTTTCCGTGTCAGCCGGACGCAGCCTCGCATCATGTACGCCGGGGAAAATCACGCCGGGGCGAGCTTCGCTGGCGTTGTGTCCCGGAAAAGCGCCCGAGGCCACCGCCGCCGGCGTCGTATCCGCCAGGGTTCTAGGTTTAGCAAAGTCCTTGCCCCCTGACGACGCGGGCTCGCAATTTAAAAGTAGGGTTATCGATTTACTAACTACCTCGCCGCCGCCATCTCGTGTACTCCACTTGTTTATCACTATGTATGCCAAGAACTGAGGGGAAGGCTGTCGGCGCCGAAGACACAGGGATATTTTTTTCTCGTCCCCGATCCCCCTGGGAGCGCCGGATTTATTGCGGAAGCTGCCATCGGACATATTAATTCGACAGGGGGCCGCGATCGTGGGGCATCTCTATGTATTAATTAAGTTTCATTAAAAGACTCATGATGTCGGCGCCCGCACCCTGCCCGTCGTCGGCGTTAGCGTCGTCGTGGGCGTCGGCATGGTCGTCGCTGTTGCCGTCGTCCTGGTCAAACTCCTTCACCTCGATGTCTTCGGAGAACGCCACCTTCTTGTGCGACGGCGTCAGCCCGCCGGACGGCGTCTGCGATAGGCGCCGCTTGCGCGACCCGTTCTCCCCCTCAGTGTCGCTGCCACCGCCAGGCAGCAACGGCGCCGTCGAGAACGCCGGCGACTCGGGCTCGGCCACCGCCGACTCGCCGTCGGCGCCCGGCGCTGGCGCCGCTGTCGCTAATGCACTCGCCGCCGCAGTCGCAGTCGATGCCGCACTAGCTGGCCCCCCGGTGGTATTAGTAGTGTTATCGTTGTCATCGTCATCGTCGTCGTCGTCGTCGGAATCCTTTTCGTAGGTGGGTAGCGCGTCATCCTCTTCGTCAGCCAGTGCCAGCGCCAGTGCCAGCGCCAGCAGCAGCAGCAGGGGCTTTGTAGGCAATGGGCGCGGTTTGTGGTCGTCGGTGTCCAGATTCATCTGTTTGAGCTCTTGTCGCGTTTCATCCAACGTCTGGAGTTTCAGGGCGATGTCGGCGAGCTTGTCGTCGTCCTTAGATACCCCCTCCTCCAATGTCTTGAGCATCAACGCCAACTGGCTGCGGATCTGCTGTTTAAGCCGCTGCTGGTCCTTGATGGCGGTGGTGGCCATTTCCCCCAACTTCTCAAGCGTATTGAGTTTCAGGATCCACACTTTCGGCAGTGGCGCGTTCGGCGCATCCTCGCCAGGTAAATACTGTTTCAGCTGGACATTGAACTGGGCCAAGTTGCCCTGGGCGGTGGTGTTGACTTTGTTCAATTGACCGAATAAGTCGTTCAAGTGGTTGAGCTCGGGGACGAGCTTGGTGCTGCCGGCGGCGGTGGCTGGCGGTCCCGCCGCGGCCAGCGGCTGGGCCAGCACCAGCTGTTTGATCGCCTGTTTGAACAGGGCGATCTGCGCCAGGTCAAACACTACGCGGTCCTGCCACACCGATATCAACCGGTCGACCTTGCCCTGGGTGGGCAGGTCCAAGCGGGCGTAGACGCGCTGGAACACCGTGGGGAGCACCAGGGCAAACTCGTCGACAAACTCCTGTTTCCGCTTGCGCTTCGCCTGCTGGACGACGTCGTTGCAGAGGTATAAAAGCGTCAACTGTTTCCGCAGCAGCCCCCGCGGCTGTTTCTCGACGAAGGCGGCCCACATGCGGGCAATGTCGCGGAGGTTGCGGTGGTGGAAAAGCACCCACTGCAGGAGCTTGACGATCAGGTCCTGGGTCTCTTGGAGCGCCTCCAACTTGCGGCTGAAGCCATCGGCGGAGAACGACATGGTCGATGGGTCAGCGCTCGCGCGAAAATCGCGGCCACCATATACTACGGTGCGGCGTCTCCACAATTCGAAACTGGAGGAAACTGAGTGTAAAACTGTGAAGGAATTGGATTCTGAGTTTCTTTTGAGGCTAAATTTTTGAGAAATTGATGTTAGGTTAACTGATGACTTGGCAATTTACCTGGTAGAGCTGTATATTAGGCTCTAGGGTCCATGCTCACCCGTCTACAATTGACGCTATATCTTTGGAAAAAGGCCTACTACACAAGAATAATTCAACCAAATGAACACGGTGGGGCAAATACCGTCATTATCAGTTGATTCCGTCAACCACGGGTTTCCCCAGAGGTGACACCTGTCGCCTGCAGTACCAAACGCGGCGCGCGCCATTCATCACCATCACACCCCACCCTTGGGCGACCATGCCTCCCAAACCGAAGCTGCTGCCGCGGCCCGTATACGATGAGAAGTCGATCCTTGAGTGCCAGCTGACCCAGGAGTTGAAGGAGATCATCCACTCGCTCACCCACACCGAGCTGGACGAGCTCTACCAACAATACAAACAATCGGTGCGTCAACAACTCGAGAACGACCGCAAGTTGATCGCCGACCTCAGCGAGGAAAACGCCCGCTTAAAGGCCCAGCTACTGCAGCCCATGCAACTGCCACAGGAAGTGACCTCCCCCATCAAAAAGACTCCCCAGCTGATCACTTCCGCTGACGACTTCCGCCAGGAGCTCCGCGAGATTAGCCACACTTTGGACCTTATAGAACTTTTAACCGGGGTATCGGTGACTGATTTCAGCGAGCGGGATGGACAATACTTCTTTGAAGTGGAGCAATTCGGCAACGCGTTGGCAGGCCCCACCGCCCAACGGCTAAAGATGGAGTACCAGCTTGTCATCAAGCTGGAGCAGACGGGCACCGACGACGAGATCATCTACCACCCGCTGTTCTTACACTACAACACCAGCGACACTGAACAGCTCAAACTGATATTGCCCGAGTACCTATTGGAAACCCTCAATTTCCCCATCAACACGTTAGGGCAGTTCTACACTAAAGTCTCCCGCGCTTTGAATAAAAAGCAATGACAGTTATGATTATGATTAATTCCCCCGACCTCCCTATTTATGTATTTATGCACTCACCACCAACTTGCCATCGTCGCCCACCGTCACCGTCAACTTCTTGAGCACCTCCTTGATGTCCTTCGAGTCGGCCTTGGCCATCTTCTTCATCACCTTGTATAAGTTGTCCCCCAGCGACACGTAGCTCAGCAACTTGTCGTCGGCCTTGCTCTTCTTGGACTTCGATTCCTTCTTCGACTTCTTCAGCTCTTCCTTGGAGGCGTCCTTCTTCGATTCCTTCTTCAGTTCTTCCTTAGGCTTTTCCTTAGGCTGTTCCTTCTTCGGCTGTTGCTGTTGCTTCTTGTTCTTGGGCTTGTAGAGCTTTCCTTCGACCTTTTGGGCTTCGGTGATACACGAGGTGTGGTCCTTGAACAGCTGCCCCGGGAACAGCTGGTAGCAGTCGATGCAGGTGAACACCGCCCCGTAGCACCGCTGGGCATGCTGCTGGCACTTCTTCTTGATCACGGTCTCATTGCACGCCTCACAGCTGAAAGATACCATGGTGATGAGATGGTGTTCCTAGTGCGATGAGGTCTCGGCTTAGCGGAAACCATCCCCACAAAGTGGCGAAGAAAGTATACGATGATCTCCGATAACCATATTAATCGTCTTGTCAACCAAAATTGAAACCATGTCGCTTGTGACTGTATGAGATAATTGTGTTCTTACCCCGCAAGTCGGCTCGTCGGCTCGTCGCCATACATCGGTCAGTTCTCGTCGCATCTGGAAACAAATGCCCCAGTACAACGTCATTATCTACGACCGCCCCGATGCTAACCGGTTGGAAGTGAGACCTAAACACTTTGCCGGTATCCCCCAGCTTGTGGAAGGTGGGGCTTTGCTCGCTGGCGGCGCCATCTTCAAAGACGACTCGTGTCTGTTGGACCTGTTTGCCGGCTCGTGGTTGCACGTTGAAGCTGAAACTCAACAGGCGGTGATGGAAATCCTTAAACGGGATCCCTACGCGGTCGAAGGGGTGTGGGACCTTCATAATGTGATCATCCACCCGATGACGGCGGCGGTAAGATTGCCGGTTCGTTTCCCTGGCGTCGATGAAAAGATGTACCAAAAGACCAAATAAACACCAACTTTCTACTCCTCTCTATAGATGTATATAGTGGGTTTTGCAACCCTCATTACTAGACTGAATACTAGACTAAGGCAATTGCAATCATAGCAATTTGTTTTTTAGATTTTTCATCGCAATCATTACAGTAGCCCCTGACTTCCATTGAGGACAACCCTATTCTACGTGATAGGGGAGGCCTTTGGAGTATGGCTTCAAGGGGTTGTCGGTCACACATACGAGAAAGTCGATATCAGCTCTTGTCGACCATTCTTACTCGGTCCTGAGGACGGAAACTTCCTATTCCAATCGTATATGCTTACTTTGCTGAGCTATAGGGTGGTAACTTCCGAAGGGCGGGGTGTGGTCACACACACGGGGCAATCGCTGAAGTCCACAGATCAACCAGTAGGGGAGAGCCGAGTTCAATCCACTGCTATGGGAAGTTGAAGACCTATCTCCAAATTACAATTCTAGACCCCTTTCCACCAACCCGTAAATTGTCAGGGCCACAAAGTCCGTGCTACGCGGCTGAACTCCTTGCTTTGGAAAGATGGGATGTGCTTCAGGGCTGCTATACCGATCCACAACACACTTGTTGGATTAGTCATGTTGTAGATTGTTGGGGTGGCGTTTATCATTCAAGATAAGCCATCACCCAGTAAGGGCGATAGAGCGTATCAGCGTTGCCACCGATATCAAATGCACACACCACATGGTGTGATTCACCGTTTTTCAAGTCACTCGGAGATTGCCTGAAAATGACTCCGAGGCTATCAGGTGTAGCCCTCTGCAGCTTCTAAATCTTGACTTCTGTCAGTTACTGAAATCCCCGCTTCGGTTACCTCCGAAGTGTAAGCGCGGCGCGAGTCAACACGGAGTCAGCAATCATCGCGACGCTGGGGGCCCTTCCTCAAGCAATGAGCAAAGCAATGGTAATTAATCTCAAAGAGGGATCGGTGTAGGCATGTTATACGGACTCCTCTTTTGTGTTTCCTCTTCTCCACAGAGTCGCCTATCGGGCTTTGGCTGACAATAGAGTGTTGCTATCACAATCTGATTTTCCCTTATCGCACGTCATGTGGGGGGTATGCACCAACGGTCTCCATGCATCGGAAGTTTCCAGCCATGACAGAGTCAACACCCCTCACTTGACAGCATCATATAAATACATGGGTATCGCTCACTGGTCAAGATATCTCATTGATGCTCGCCAGAATCTTCAAGAACACCAAGAGCAACGCCGCCCCTAAGATCAGAGTCTACCACAACTGCAGCCCTTTACTGCGCCAACTTTACTCGAAGTTGCACAACCACTGCAACGAGAAGTACCAAATTGATTTGCAAAAGAAGCAGACCATCTCCGAAGATGACTTCAAGTTCTTGATGGATGTCGTCGACGTGCACCCCGACAACAAGAACATCATTTACAACTTATTTGAAAAGCACCCGTCACAGGATTTGACTATCGAAGACTTCAAGTCGATCCAGGCACCCTTAATCATTGACTACAAGAACAAGTTGGTGGCTGCCGACTGCGTCAGCTTTGACCGGGTGTTGAGCAACTACGCCACCTGTGGCATGCAAAACTTTACCAATGACACGCTCGTGCCTACTGCCCTCAAGGTCACGCTGACCATCGAAGCGTTGAAGGGTCAGTTGGCTTAAACAACGTCAGATTGCATATTTGGTTTTTCACATGGACTGGTTCCGGAGTTATGGATAGGATATAAATCAATATAAATACATTAAAATTTTCCAAATGATCGTTAATGAAAGTGTTCGAGTTTGCTATTCTCTGATAACGCCGATTTCAGGATATAGTCGATCCTCGGCATGTTATGATTGCATCGCTTAAGCGTTCTATGTCAATCATGAAAACAAAAGGATGGGGAAGGATATATAGAGTCTGGCAAAATTCTCATTTCAAAAAATCAAAAATGAAGGTTTTTTATCGGTCTTATCTGATTTGACTTCCCAGACAGGACTCGAACCTGCAATCTTCTGATTCGTAGTCAGACGCCTTGCCATTTGGCCACTAGGAACAACCTTGATTTGTGCATATTTTCGTAGAAGGTATTTATCAGTTTGAATATGATCTTTTGGGTCAAAGAAGAATCGGATTATGCAACTAGAAGCCTTGTACATTTACTAAAGTCGGTGTTTAGAATGAAATTCAATTTGTGCGAGCGCGAAGCAGCCACAATCAGATGAGATATAGCAAGATATCACTTGAAGGGTCTTGCAAAGTTGGACTCACCTCGATCAAAGGACTGCAATAAGAAATCTGTGTTAATTTTGATATATAACCGTGAGTGGATGCCTGATGCCTCATATAGAGCTTTTTGGAGTTACGTGTATTAAATCCAGAAAAACCGGACGCATTACTATTAGATAAAAAATATAAACCTACCTCAACAACGGTCATCATTTTGAAGTACATCATTTAAGTCGTTTTCAATGAGTGTGAAACGCATTATATTCTCAGTTTTTTACATCAAGGTGCCCCAGACATGGAACCCGTACCTAATATTTGATTTTGATGTTGCTCTCAATATTATTCGCCTTAAGGATTATATCGATTTTTAGGCAAATTGAACAAATTTCAGCTCCTGCTCATTCAGAAGTCGAAGTATTTTAACAACCAGCGACAGCACTACTCCTTACCTGTTAAAGTCAACTTCGATGGAGATTTTGGCTGTCTTGCATGGAATTTAATAAGTAATTTTGCCAACCAGTCCGTTCCTCCAGCAATCCTCGATGACAATGTTTCCTGGCGAGTTCTGGCAATGCGCTTTCGTCGCCAAATTCAGTATTCGTATTCTCCAACTGGTGTACACATTGAAAGCTTACCAACCGAATTGATTTTAGGGAGAGCGGATGCCATAAAAATGAATTAGTTAGTGTCAGTATGTTCAGACGTCCCATAAACTACACAACTACATCACTTTGCCGCTCAGTTTGACAACTCATTTTTAGTTTCATTCAGTATGAGGTTTTGTATAAACACAGTGTGGAAATACAAACTAATTGGATGACATGGTATGAATCAAGTACAGACGCTTCGAATAGCCAAGCCACCCAGCTCGAAAATTAAAAAAATGATGATTGCTGTGGGGTTCGAACCCACGCCCCCGAAGAGACCAGGAATGCGACATCCGGAGATATCCGGTAAGGTGACCTTACCCTGGCGCCTTAGACCACTCGGCCAAACAACCACTTTGTTGAAAAATCTGATTGACGCATTAGCATATGATAATTGATGAAAAGGACCTATTGTTTTTAAAATTTTTTCATATTATCGCTCATTCACGTCATGATTCTTTGGCCGCAAAATGTTAAAATTCATTTGTCACATCCATGTCTAACTCATGAATGTTCAGGATGGTTGAATCAAAACAGATAAGATATCTGCGAGTTGAGGAAGCAAGAACAAATTGCAAACCTCTGAGAGAATAATAACTGAAGTAGGGTGCTCAGGAAAAAGGGGGAATGTGGCCCGTAGCCACAGGGTATCGAACCCTGATGTCTCCTTTTGGGATTATGTTAGCCAATTACACCATAGCCATGGGTAATTCGAGCCGATCACTTGAGAGACGCCTTGATTGAAAACAAAACACATAAAGTTGGGTCAGAAACAACGTCTCGTTCGGTGGTGGTGGTTAGTGTATACCTTGCCCCTTGCCTGTCTCAATGTAACGTTGGTGTTCAATCCACGTTCTCAAATCAGCCTCTGTCCAAAAAGCAGGGGCCTCATGTGATAGTCGTGACTCCTTAAAAAGGAGGAACACAGCTCGCAAGAGGCGGGCTAGTTCTTTAAACGCAACCAGATTAAGACGTCGAGGGGGGAGCATATCAGATACGGTTCTGTAGGGGGTAGGTTGTTGGTTAACAAGCCGGTAGACGACTTGGCTGACGGGGCACTCGCAGTAAGTGTGTTGTTCGTTGGCACCCTTGGTACGTATGAGCTTCGTCTGAGCGACAAAAAGAGGTTGATTCGCTTCATTGTGGACAGCGGGAAGGTCGATTTTCTCTCCGGGAGACACGCCGGCGAGGCAAAGAGTGCAGCCAGTTGTAAAGAATGAAGCATACTGTGATTCATCAACAGTGGCGTGGGCGGTCCACATCCATACAGCTACATAGCCGTGATAGAACTCCCAGAGGATAGACAGTTCCCAAGGTTGCAGCAACGTGAATTTCAGTAAGTCTCTCCAGAACAGCTTCCATTCGGACGGCGATGGTACGTTGCGTGATGTTTAATGCTTTCCAACCCACGTCGGGATGTCAAGCCAATCAAGCTTCGCATTCGATTTCTTATGAAGACTGTGGAAGGTGGATATTGAGAGAACAACGTCGTCAGCGTCAAATCTCGTTCTCAAACCAACGAGCTTCGACACCTAAATACCACGAGGAATCCAAACTGAGAAGTGTTTGCCATTCAAATTTTATAAGTATTCTCTGGAGAAAAGGTGTGAATCCGGGTTCATTCATTTCGTCGTCTTGCCTGTATATCCACTGAAGGTGTTTGAAGTGATTGTGTAGAACCTGTAGCATCGATCATTGCGGACAGAAATACCATCATTGGTCACAATTTCAAGTATTGAGACATTTTTAAGGTCTTCAAACAATGAACAATCATGTTTTGCAAAATGTCTCTTTTAAAGTAGCGTTTATATTTGATGAGATACATGATTGAATTTTTTTCGCAGAGGTCTTTGGTAGTATAACGGTTAGTATTTCCGCTTGTCACGCGGGAGATCGGGGTTCGATTCCCCGCCAAAGAGATTTTTTTGGTTAATATCAATAAAAGTATCATTTTTGGACTTTCAAATACAATCACACGTTTTTCCACACATGAACATTCAAATTCCACCTTTCATATGTTTTTGCACCTATATTACGGTTTTGCTCCCAATGAGGGTAACTCAATTCTATGGCAATGCCAACAAGGCAATACAAAATTAGAGGAGTATTTACGAATTGTAGTCGAGAAAATGGTATGTGTCTAAGAATGTCGCAACTGTGCACAGTTCAGGACCCATCTGACTCATTTGCAACACTCAAACTGACTGTTAAGAGAAACGGCAGCATGGCTGTCACCTTGTGGCATACCATTAAAATAAACCCATCAATGTGTACTGGAGTCGATACTCTAAGTATATTTCCTAATCTGTCGCATGTCTGGCACGCCGAGAAATTCCCTCACCTATCCCGGATCATCCGGACTTCGACGAAACTACACCAATTGAGCGAGCTAACTGAAGAACAAGTTGAATGTGCAATTGATTCTGAATTTAATCGAAGTTAGTGTCTTGTATACAAAAACTCCATTCTCTTGTATTTAAATTACGGTGAGTTTTGGCTTATAAAACGGATAGCTCGGCCGCGACGCAGTGGTGCGTTAATTAAAGCGCTATCGCCGTAGCCCAGGCTATATAAAGATGCTAATTGCGTTCCTACCAACTAGCAAACATGTCCTCGAACGCCAATCAACAACCACCCAAAGAATACTCTGCCGCTGCTCCCAATTTGGACAACAATGTGCTTGAGTCTTACACTGACGAGACCGTTGAGACCCAACAATATCACAAAGCGTTCCCTGATGCCCGAGCAAAAGAATTCCGCCACGAAGAACTCGGGCTAGAAGCCAAATACGACTCTGCCCAGAAGTTTGAGGCTGCTCGTGAAAAGGAGCGTGAAATCTTTGGTAAGAAGTAACTCAACCCCAATACAGCAAATATTTCAATCAATGATAATTAGTAGATATACGTTTTTACCAAGATTCATGGTTCAACGTCAAGGGGCCATTGATACCCTTTTCAGCATTGAATATATGATGATTGAGTGGAGATCTCTAAACTGGAGCTCTAGCAAGATTTATATATCTTGCCATCATTGCGGCTCTCGTACAATCACCCAGATCGATACAAATAGTCAGGCAGTATGTTGCATGATGATTTTGAGCAGCGCAGTATAACAACTAGCAAACACTTATTCAAAACTGATTTGAAGGGATCACGACAATTGTGTCGAATATATCAAGCAGGCCCTTAGTGATCTACCATTTATCTCAAGCTGCAGTCTGGGTTTGCAGATTGTAGCAACGTAACAATGTTTACCCAATGGTAGAAATGACCCAAGCCATATCGATACCCATAGAATTGTATACCCCCAGGAGGCAAGACATAGCCTCAGGCTTGAATTCGTCGGTTGTCGGTTTGAAGCAGTCTAAAGAAGATTCCCCAGACTGATATGATTGTCTTGATGATATCGTAAAAGCCTAATGATGCCTCTTAACTTTTGAAAACGATAGACCGACAACAATGGTCAATCAACTAAAAACCAATGGTTATCGGAATCAATATCGAATTCATCTGTGCTGATTCCAAGCTGACACAAGGAGTCCATCCCTCCCAAGAGATATTCAGCTTTAACGTGCAATAGTGGTCAATACTTGTTTGGTTCAACCGTCAATCGACGTTGCTGTCACACCAAAAGTTGAGCGTACGTTTTGGGACCCATAAGCGAAGGAGGGAGATGGGGTTGCTGTCAAAACAATATTGCCTGCCCACGAAGGTCGATGAGATCAACCCGGGACCAACCTGAAGTCTCTGTGGGTTTGAAATCACGTGAACCCCATTTGTTGACGACGATAGTAGCGATTGAATCGGAGTTGCTTAGCCATTCAGGCACTTGGTGTGGCCTCTTCGGTTTCGCAGAGGATAAGACACCGCGGGGTTTGATCATCAGCCACACTGAGCGAGCACCGTCTTCCCAATTAGGCAGGTCAACGCGTACTAAATACAGGATTCTTCTCATCGAAGACGCGTCGATAACAACGGTAACAACAACCACCACTAGTCATGTCGTGGGCACTTCTTTTGGTCACAAACTTGAGCCCATTTACCTAAACGATGTGTTCGTTGTTGTGGACATGATTTATCCGGAATTGAGCCACAAACGATAAGGGAACACCGCCACCGACCCCAACCTGTGATTGAATCCATTTATAATCGTCAACAGATCAGCATACTTGTCAATTCTACCAGTCAGGATGGCGTTTGAGTGATGCTGACAACAATCTGCTTGGGGTTTGACGCGTTTATTCGACTCAACAGCCCCAGAAACTTTGCGTACATGGATGAGTGATTATCTTACAAGTGACACTAAGTTCTGGAGTTCGTTGAAGCTCAAGTCACAAATGGGCCTACCTGGGACAATATTGAGGGGACTTTCGGGATAGGTGACTCGCTATTGTTGGTGACACCACTGACTGCTTTCAGCACGACCATATTTGGGGGCCCATTAACCACTTCGACTGCCAGCGTCTGCCAATTTCATCGTCAATGGCCAATTGATCTAGCTTTTCATGGCTGGAGATGACAGCGTTTCCAAGATTCAGTTTTACCTTTTAAGAATTCCAGTATGTCATTGTTATCCGAATGTTGGAAATTGTCGATTCATCGAAGAGCGTTTCGCTTGCGATGGTATTGCAACACTCCCCTGGCCTCGATAACTGTTCAGTCCAAGTTGCCGAGATCATTCGCTTTTCGTTTGGCCGTCCCCGTGGTGCTTCATTCAAAAACCACGAACAACGAAGGCGGTCTATGTTGTAAGCAAAAGAAGTCCACTGCTCCACATGTTGAGATCGTGACGAACTTGCAGGAGTGTGCTTCTCTAAGCTGGACCAGGGGAAAAGTCCAAACAACAGAGTACAAGCTGCTCGATGCTTAACTATGTCACAGACTATCATTGACTTGAAGCGAGTTACATCAACTACGTTTGCGGCCACGACCACGTCCTACACACAGACAGTCATTGCGCTTAGAAGACATTATATTATGAATGGAATCGGAACATGAAAGAAGGGAGATTAGAAGATTCCGCAAATTGATATTTCAATCTAGCAATACCCTGGCGTGAGCCATCTTTTTTAGAGGAAATTGCCTTACGATGGTTGTAGGAAAATAGAAGTGCACCACATGATATAAGTGGGGCGTTCGTATGCAGGAGAATCGCGAGAGATGCTGAACAAGACACTTTGAGCCCGACCACGGGATTCCAGAGTGGCTGACTCAAATCTTTTAGCAACACTGTAGTCTCTATAAACGTCTATTTGGTTTGAC